TTTTTTTTATATTTTTAATTTTTTTTTTTTATTTTATTTTTTTTTTTTTTTTTTTTTTAAAAAATTTTAAAATTTTTTTTTTATTATATTTTTTTTTTATTTTTTTTTTATATTTTTATAAATATTTTTTTTAAAAATTTATATTTATTTAAATTTTTTTTTATTTTTTTTTTTTAAATAGTTTTTTATTAATTTTAAAAATTAAATATTTATAATTTAAATTTTTTTATTTTTTAATTATTTTTTAATTTTTATTTTTTTTATGTATAAAATGAAATTTATTATACACAGAATATAACTGGATATAACATTTTATAGGGAAAGGTGATCCAGGAAATATCCGATTGCCTCTCGGTGGGATCAGGAAGGAATCTTTTCCCCTGCAGGAGCAAATTGGATCGTGCTTTGCTGTGGTGTTTTTGCCTTCCTCTGGATCAGCTTGTGGTGTGTCCGGATTATACGTTTTTTTTTTTTTTAATTTAATGGTTGAACTGGATGGTTTTTTGTCTTTCTTTTCTCAGCCAGACTAACTATGTAACTGTAACTCTGTAACAAATCAACTTCAGGGACAACATGTTCACTTGCTGACTGATATATCCCTCCAGCTTTCAGAAGCAGATAATCCGCGTTTTTCACGTCACCTGTCTGAGGTCCACAAAGCTGTAACTGATCGGTGTGAGAAGTTCCCCCAAGCATTGCGTATGCGCAAACATTTCCAACGATTTTCATTTAAAAAACGTTTTTTCACCTTTTTCCATCCTTTGTTCCACCTCCTGCGGCCTCTAAACCACGTCTTGCCTGCGGTCACACTCCATCTACGACGGCTCGGTGCTTCCCATCTCAACCTGCAACCACTTGTTACCGACCTTCGGTTTGTTCCTCGACTACACTTGTCACTCCTGTGCTGTCTTATCTCCAACCTGCCACTCGTTACCAATCTTTGATTTGTTCCTGACACTTCTGCTTGATCCCAACCTGCAACCCCTGTTTTCTTGATCTACGTTTCATTCCTCGATTACAATCTTGCTCAACCTTCAACCTTTTGTTACCGACGTTCGGTTTTTTTCCTCGACTAACATCTGCTTGATCCCAACTTCAACCCCTGTTTTCTGACCTTTGCCTTGTACCCTCGACTAAATTTGGCTTGATCCCAACTTGCACCCACTTGTTACCGACCTTTGATTTGTTCCTCGACTACGAATCTGCTTGATCCCAACCTGCAACCCCTGTTTTCTGACCTTTGGTTCATTCCTTGACTACGTTTATGCTTAATGTCAACCTTGCAACCACTTGTTACCGCCCTTCGGATCATTTCCTCAACTACACTTGTCACCAACTGTTTGCTGTCCATCTCTGCTACCCCTTCGGTTTGTTACCAATCTTTGGCTCTTTCCTCGACCTTCGGTTTGTTCCTTGACTTGCAGCCACTTGTTACCGACCTTCGGTTTGTTCCTCAGACTATGCTCTGCTTGATCCCAACCTGCAACCCCTTGTTTTCTGACCTTTGGTTCATTCCTTGACTACGTTTATCTGCTTGATCAACCTTGCAACCCCTTGTTACGCCCTTCGGATCGTTCCTCGACTACACTTTTCTACCTGTTGCTTGATCCCAACCTGCAACCACTTGTTACCGACCTTTGGCTTTTTCCTCGACTACGCATCTGCTTGATCCCAACCTGCAAACCACTTGTTACCGACCTTTGGTTTGTTCCTCAGCTACGCATCTGCTTGATCCCAACCTGCAACCCCTTGTTACCGACCTTCGGATTGTTCCTCACTACACTTGTCACTCCTGCTGCTGTCCATATCTCCTCTACCACTCATGTGACCGATCCTTCGGTTTGTTCCTCGACTATGCTTCTGCTTGATCTAAACCTGCAACCACCTTTTACCGAACCTTTTGCCTTGTTCCCTCGACTAACATTTCAGCTTGATGCTTGATCCTAACCTGCAACCACTTGGTATCCCTACCTGCTGTATCTGCTATTGGTCCTCAGCTTGCTCACTTCCTGGTGAGGTGAAGGACTGGGACCCGGCACTAACATGCAGCAAAGCCTATCCCCACCATCAGAGGCTCTGGTTTGTACTTACATCCCTCACCTCAGGTGAGCCAGCGTCGTCCATCAGGGTGACCTGCTGGTTGGTGGGAGCCTCCCTACTGCTATAACTATTGGTCTCCAAGCCCGACCCCTGACCGGGACTCTAGAAGAGGAAGTGCCTGAACAAGGACCTTCACGGCTAGATCACCAGGTTATATTTTGCAGGTTTCAAAGGAGTGGAAATGGCTTCTGAAATGACGTCATCACGGTGAAGCTTAGAAGTTAGTGTTTGAATCTAATATAATAGTCCTTTAATGCAGTCGGGGAGAGCAAGCTGGCCCTTCCCACCTACCAAGAGGTTGTGCCGGTGCAAGAGCAACCAATTGCCAGGCTTGAGCAGTGTCACATGGGTAGCATGCCTGAGCTTATGCAAATATCGACTTTCAGAAGGTTGGTCTTGACCAGGGTATGAATAAGCAGATATTAGTGTGAAAAGCGTCAACATACAGCCCGTCTGTGCTTTTGTACTGCTTCTCTGACTACGGGATTTTAAACATTTTCTGCTTGGAGCAAGTCCTGCGGTGGTGTGCGACCCTTTTCCTTTTTTGCCTTTTTCATGCGGTGGCGAGCCGCGGTGAGCACCTGCGCGGGACTATATTGTAGCTATTACGCGCACTTGAGCAGTGGATGTTTGATTTGGACGATAGAAACTTGACAACTTTGGTGGCACTCTTGCATGACCAAGGTGTCATATCCTGGCTTGGTATACAGTGCATAGATAGGCTTGCTCTCTCCGGCCACTTTATCAGGTCCACCTTGCTAGTCCCGGGTTGGACCCCCTTTTTCCTTCATAACTGCCTTCATTCTTAGTGGCGTAGATTCAACAAGGTGTTGGAAACGTTCCTCAGAGATTTTGGTCCATAGTTGTCAAGGTCCTACCTTTTCCCAGAGGTTATGTTTCTCCCTGTGCTGGCATCCATGTTGGATTTCTGCAGAGCATGGTGGGACTCTTTTATGCCTTCTGGTCTCTGAGGTCCATCCCCCAGAGGGGTGTGGCTGAGTACATATAAGCCTGTGATCCGCACATGCTCTTTGCACTTGTGTCTTGTGTCTTTGTGTTGCTGTTACTCTGTTCTGACTCTCGTGACTCTCCTGGAATCTGACTCGGCTTGTGACCTGACCATTCTTTGTGTTCTCATTTGATCTGACCCTCCGTTGCTGAACCCGGCTCGTGACCTGTGATTCTCATCTGCTGTCCTGTACTGTTTTGTCCTGTTGTTGTTGACCCGGCCTGTCTGACTACTCTATTGTCTTTTCTACCAGCTACACGCCATTGGCGGCGGCCATTACCGCAACTGAGGTGTCTCAGGGGCCGCGACCTGGTTCCTGGCTGCGTCAAGTCCATCCCCACCATCAGGGGCCCTGGTGAAGGGCAGCCTGGGACTTAGACTCCGCGCCCTGAGGGACTTCGGTCTGTGGGTGGTGGTTGTCGTCAGCCAGTGCGTTACATTGTTAAGGCCTGCCTGTCCGTTCCTCAGCTCCTGCCCTGACAATATTGACATGATGGCATCACTCAGTTGCTGCAGATTTGTTGGCTGCACTCCCGTGGTGCGAATCTCCACATCCCAAAGGTGCTCTATTGGTTGGAGATCTGGTGACTGTGGAGGCCATTGGAGTGCAGAGACCTCATCGTCATGTTCAAAGAACCAGTTTGAGATGATTTGTACTTTGTGACATGGAGCATTATCCTGCTGGAAGGAGCCATCAGAAGATGGGGACACTGGAGTCATGAAGGGATGGACATGGTCAGTAACAATACTCAGGTACTCAGTACTCGATGCTCTGTTGGTACTAAGGGGACTAAAGTGTCCCAAGAAAAATACCCGCCCACACCATGACACCACCAGCCTAAACAGTTGATACAAGGCAGGATGGATCCACCACACCATGACACCAACACCACCAGCCTGAACCATTGATACAAGGCAGGATGGATCCACCACACCATGACACCACCACCTCCAGCCTGAACCATGGATACAAGGCAGGATGGATCCCCCCACCATGATACCACCACCACCAGCCTGAACCATTGATACAAGGCAGGATGGATCCCCCACACCATGACACCACCACCACCAGCCTGAACCATTGATACAAGGCAGGATGGATCCACCACACCATGACACCACCACCACCAGCCTGAACCGTTGATACAAGGCAAGATGGATCCACCACACCATGACACAAAGTTGGGAGCATGAAATTTTCCAAAATGTCGCCTTAAGAGTTCCCTTCACTGGAACTAGGGGGCCAAGCCCATCCCCTAAAAACAACCCCACACCCCCTCCACCAAACGTTACACTTGGCACAATGCATTCCGGCAAGTACCGTTCTCCTGGCCACCGCCAAACCCAGACACGTCCATCGGATTGCCAGACAGAGAAGCGTGATTGGGCCCTCCAGAGAACACGTCTCCACTGCTCTAGAGTCCAGTGGCGGCGTGCTTTACACCACAGCATCCGACGCTTTGCATTGCACTTGGTGATGGAAGGCTTGGATACAGCTGCTCGGCCATGGAAACCCATTCCATGAAGCTCTCTACGCACTGTTGTTGGGCTCATCTGAAGGCCACACCAAGTTTGGAGGTCTTTAGCTATTGACTCTGCAGGCAGTTGGTGACTTCTGCGCACTGTGCGCTTCAGCATGCGCTGACCCCGCCCTGTCATGTGACGTGGCCTACCACTTGGTGGCTGAGTGGCTGTTGTTCCCAGTTGCTTCCACTTTGTTATAATCCCACTAACAGTTGAGCGTGGAATATTTAGTAGCCGGGAAATGTCACGGATGGACTTATTGCCCAGGTGGCCACCTATCACGGGACCACGCTTGGAGTCACTGAGCTCCTGAGAGCGACCCATTCTTTCACCAATGTTTGTAGAAGCAGTCTGCATGCCTAGGGGCTTGATTGTATACACCTGTGTCCATGGAGGGGATTGGAGCACCTGAATCACATGATATGGAGGGGATTGGAACACCTGAATCACATGATATGGAGGGGATTGGAACACCTGAATCACATGATATGGAGGGGATTGGAACACCTGAATCACATGATATGGAGGGGATTGGAACACTTGAATCACATGATATGGAGGGGATGGGAACACCTGAATCACATGATATGGAGGGGATTGGAGCACCTGAATCACATGATATGGAAGGGATTGGAACACCTGAATCACATGATATGGAGGGGATTGGAGCACCTGAATCACATGATATGGAGGGGATTGGAGCACCTGAATCACATGATATGGAGGGGATTGGAACACTTGAATCACATGATATGGAGGGGATTGGAGCACCTGAATCACATGATATGGAGGGGATTGGAACACTTGAATCACATGATATGGAGGGGATTGGAACACCTGAATCACATGATTTGTAGGGCAATACTTTGGGCAATATGGTGTACGTACAGTATAGCCTTTCCTTCAGCCCATGGGTCTTTTTGGAGGAGATTGCTGTTATTTCAGATTTCCCTTTGAATGCCTCTGCTGGTAAGAGTTGGTAATGCAGTACGACTATAATTATTGGTGGGAACCATTGTCAGATAGCCTCCTGCTGCTGTTTTTTTTAGGGGGCTGTGAACTTTGGGGACCTCTCTAAAAAGGAAACCTGACGACATAAATCATTTTTTGGAAATGCCTTTAAAGAACATCACATCCAAATATATAGCTAAAACAACCAGTCTTTATTTTCATGAATCCAGACCCATCTTTTGGTGCCCCTCCCCTGAAGCATTAAAAAAAATAAAAAATACGCACAGACGCTAATACAGGTCAGAAATATTCCCTGTCAAACTGGATTCAATTAGGAGAGTTCAGGGTTCAGGTCCTCGGACAATTTGGCTTTTCTAAAAAATATGATGCGGTTTATACCATTTCGGGGGAATCAGACTGAAAACCTGTCCAATTACAAGCTAAAATATAGATCTTTCTGTTGTTCACACCTAACTTAATCTTCTTTTTTTTTATTCTTGGAAAAAAAAATTCTTTAAAAATACCACCCCCCCCCCTTTTTTTTTTTTTTTTTTTTTTTTCGGTTTGGTTGACGAGCGTCTAAATGGGACCACTTTACAAGTCATAAACAATCATTTCTGTTTTTTCTTGATGGGGTAGATGGAGGGCGGGTTATTTTTGACGTGTAATTAAAACAAGGCCGTGCGCCATTTCTCATACGGCTCCTCCAATGCACTTCATTAAAACGGATTGCCCCCGTGCTCCTTTTTTTTTTTTAACCTTTTTTTTTTTTTTTTTTCTTTTTTTTCTTATGCACATATTGCTGAACTCTGCTGAATGGCTTTAAATTATGTGGTGATACCGTGATGTGGCCAAAGCTTTTCCTACGGACTTGGGGGGAAAATAGACCACCAAATTCATGCTGGGGGGGGGGGACCAGCCAGAGTTTTTTTTTTTTTTTGCTTTGGGTTTTTTTTTTTTTTTGCTTTGGGGTTTTTTTTTTTTTTGCTTTTTTTTTTTTTTACTGTATTTTTAAAACAGAATTTTAGAATAAATAAAAAAAAAAACACTAATCCATACCAAATGTACCACAGATCTCCTAGGTATGCCAATCAGAAATGGGCTACTGTACTTGACAACAGACCCGTTTATAGCACCAACTATATCACCGTGAGGCTACAGTGCACCCAGAAAGTTTTTTTTTTTTTTTTTTTTTTGCTTTTGGTTTTTTTTTTTTTACTGTATTTTTTTAAAGCAGAATTTTAGAATAAAAAAAAAAAAAAAAACTAATATATACCAAATGTACCACAGATCTAGGTATGCCAATCAGAAATGGGCTACTGTACTTGACAACAGACCCGTTTATAGCACCAACTATATCACCACGAGGCTACAGTACACCTAGAAAGTTTTTGGTTTTTTTTTGCTTTTGTTTTTTTTTTTTTACTGTATTTTTAAAGCAGAATTTTAGAATAAAATAAAAAAAACACTAATCCATACCAAATGTACCACAGATCTCCTAGGTATGCCAATCAGAAATGGGCTACTGTACTTGACAACAGACCCGTTTATAGCACCAACTATATCACCGTGAGGCTACAGTGCACCTAGAAAGTTGTTTTTTTTTTTTTTGCTTTTGGTTTTTTTTTTTTTTACTGTATTTTTAAAGCAGAATTTTAGAATATAAAAAAAAAAAAATAATCCATACCAAATGTACCACAGATCTCCTAGGTATGGCAATCAGAAATGGCCTACTGTACTTGACAACAGACCTGTTTATAGCACCAACTATATCACCGTGAGGCTACAGTACACCCAGAAAGTATTTTTTTTTTTTTTTGCTTTGTTTTTGTTTTTTTACTGTATATTTAAAACAGAAATTTAGAATAAAAAAAAACACTAATCCATACCAAATGTACCACAGATCTCCTAGGTATGCCAATCAGAAATGGCCTGCTGTACTTGACAACAGACCTGTTTATAGCACCAACTATATCACCACGAGGCTACAGTACACCCAGAAAGTTTTTGTTTTTTTTTTTGCTTTTGTTTTTTTTTTTTTACTGTATTTTTAAAGCAGAATTTTAGAATAAAAAAAAAACAAAAAACTAATCCATACCAAATGTACCACAGATCTCCTAGGTATGCCAATCAGAAATGGGCTACTGTACTTGACAACAGACCCGTTTTTAGCACCAACTATATCACCGTGAGGCTACAGTGCATCCAGAAAGTATTTCCAGCGCTGATCTTTTTGCACATTTCGTTATGTTACGGCCTAAATGGATTTAATTCATTTTTTTCCTCAACATTCTACAAACAATACCCCATAAGGCAACGTGAAAGATGTTTGTTTTGAAATTTTTGCAATTTATAAAGAAAAACAAAAAAAACACATGTACATAAGTATTCCCAGCCCCCCCATGTACATAGGTATTCCCAGCCCCCCCCCCCATGTACATAAGTATTCCCAGCCTTTGCCCAATACTTTGTTGAAGCCCCTTTAGCCCCCATTCCAGCCTCGAGTCATTCTGAGTATGATGCTACAAGCTTGGCACACCTATTTTTGGGCGATTTCTCCCGTTCTTCTTTGCAGGACCTCTCCAGCTCCATCAGGTTGGATGGAGCCATTTTCAGATCTCTCCAGAGATGTTCAATCGGGTTCAAGTCTGGGCTCTGGTTGGGCCACTCCTTTGTTACGTGGGCTGTGTGCTCAGGGTCGTTGTCCTGTGGAAAGATGAACCGTCGCCCCAGTCTAAGGTCCAGAGCGCTCTGGAACAGGTTTTCATCAAGGATGTCTCTGTACATTGCTGGATTCATCTTTCCTTTGATCCGGACTAGTCTCCCAGTTCCTGCAGCTAAAAAACTTCCCCACAGCATGATGCTGCCACCACCATGTAGGGATGGTATTGGCCAGGTGGTGAGCGGTGCCTGGTTTCCTCCAGACATGATGCTTGGCATTCAGGCCAAACAGTTCAATCTTTGATTCATCAGACCAGAGAGTTTTGTTTCTCATGGTCTGAGAGTCCCTCAGATGCCTTTTGGCAAACTCCCAGGTGGGCTGCCATTTGCCTTTTTACTGAGGTGTGGCTTCCGTCTGGCCGCTCTACTATACAGGCCTGATTGGTGGAGTGCTGCAGAGATGGTTGTTCTTCTGGAAGGTTCTCCTCTCTCCACAGAGAAACGCTGGAGCTCCTTCAGAGTGACCATTGAGTGCTTGTTTACCTCCCTGGCTAAAGCCCTTCTCCCTCAATCGATCATTTTGGCCAGGCGGCTCACTCTAGGAAGATTCCTGGTGGTTCCAAACTTCTTCCATTTACAGATGATGGAGGCCACTGTGCTCACTGGGGCCTTCAATGCTTCAGAAATGTTTCTGTACTCTTCCCCAGATCTGTGCCTTGATACAATCCTGTCTCGGAGGTCTACGGACAATTCCTTGGACTTCATGGCTTAGTTTGTGCTCTGACATGCACTGTTACCTGTAGGACCTTCTATAGACAGGTTTATGCATTTCCTAATCATGTTCAATCAATTGAATGTCCCACAGGTGAGCTCTGATCATCTGAATGTCCCACAGGTGGACTGTAATCAAATGAATGTTCCACAGGTGCACTCCAATCCGCTGAATGTCCCACAGGTGGACTCCAATCCGCTGAATTTCCCACAGGTGGACTCCAATCCGCTGAATGTCCCACAGGTAGACTCCAATCCACTGAATGTCCCACAGGTGGACTCCAATCCAATGAATGTCCCACAGGTGCACTCCAATCCGCTGATGTCCCACAGGTGGACTCCAATCCACTGAATGTCCCACAGGTGGACTCCAATCCAATGAATGTCCCACAGGTGGACTCCAATCCAATGAATGTCCCACAGGTGACTCCAATCCGCTGAATGTCCCACAGGTGGACTCCAATCCACTGAATGTCCCACAGGTGCACTCCAATCCGCTGAATGTCCCACAGGTGGACTCCAATCCGCTGAATGTCCCACAGGTGGACTCCAATCCGCTGAATGTCCCACAGGTAGACTCCAATCCACTGAATGTCCCACAGGTGGACTCCAATCCAATGAATGTCCCACAGGTGGACTCCAATCAAGTTGTGGAAACATCTCAAGGATGATCAGTGGGAACCGGATGCTCCAGAGCTCAATTTTGAGTGTCATGGCAAAGGCTGGGAATACTTATTTACATGGGGTTTTTTTTTTAGTTTTATTTTTAAGAATTTGCAAAGATTTCAAAACAAACTTTTTTCCCGTTGTCCTTATGGGGTATTGTTTGTAGAATGTTGAGGAATAAAGTGGATTTAACCCATTTTGGAATAAGGCCGTAACATAACAAAATGTGACAAAAGTGAAGCTCTGTGAATCCTTTCTGGATGCGCCGTATGAATATCAGAGACATCCGACCAATGGGAATCCTTTCTGGACGCGCCGTAGGAATATCGGAGACATCCGACCAATGGGAATCCTTTCTGGATGCGCCGTATGAATATCAGAGACATCCGACCAATGGGAATCCTTTCTGGATGCGCTGTATGAATAGCGGAGACATCCGACCAATGGGAATCCTTTCTGGACGCGCTGTATGAATATCGGAGACATCCGACCAATGGGAATCCTTTCTGGACGCGCCGCATGAATAACAGAGACATCCGACCAATGGGAATCCTTTCTGGATGCGCCGTATGAATATCAGAGACATCCGACCAATGGGAATCCTTTCTGGACGCGCTGTATGAATAGCAGAGACATCCGACCAATGGGAATCCTTTCTGGATGCGCCGTATGAATATCAGAGACATCCGACCAATGGGAATCCTTTCTGGATGCGCCGTATGAATATCGGAGACATCCGACCAATGGGAATCCTTTCTGGACGCGCTGTATGAATATCGGAGACATCCGACCAATGGGAATCCTTTCTGGACGCGCTGTATGAATATCGGAGACATCCGACCAATGGGAATCCTTTCTGGACGCGCTGTATGAATATCGGAGACATCCGACCAATGGGAATCCTTTCTGGATGTGCTGTAGGTTCACACCTATGCAGTTTATGTTTGATCCGTTTCTGCATTCCGTTTTTGCCACGTTTTGGATGTTTTTTTTTTTATTTTTATTTTTTTTTTGTTGCTAGGCATCAAAAACGCTGCTTTTCTGCAGCGTTTCCATTGAAGTCTATAGAACCAAAAACACAACTTTTTGCGTTCAAAAAAGTCTCTGACCCTTTCCAAAAAATGCAACGTGGAGATGTGAACGTGTCCCATAGGAAATCATGTTAAATGGACTGTACTGCGTTTCTGCAAAATGCTGTGGAAAATGCTTAGGTGTGAACCCGGGGTAAGGCGGGATTAGTGAGTCTGCATGTTCTCCCTGTGCCTGTGTGGGTTTCCTCGGGTACTACGGTTTCCTTCCACACTCCAGAGTAGGCACGTGCGGATCGTTTCCGAGTTTTTTTGCTGTTCGGAGATTCAGATTTATCCGAAATTTCCAAACTACAATAGTAACTGGTATTATTTAAATTGAATAAAAAAAAAAAAATCAAATTTGAAAACAAGAATAGCATTAAATACAACAGAAAATACAGGAATAGAAAAGAATAGTATAGAATAGAAAAAAAGCGAATAGAATAGCGTAAAACAGAAATGAATTGAATAAAATAGAATAGAAAATAAGGGAATATAATGGAAAATAATAGAACAGAATAGAATAAAACAGAACAGAAAATAAAATGAAATAAAACAAACAAAAGAATAGAAAATAAAGGAATATAATAAAAAACAGATGGAGTTTTTTGCTATTCGGAGATTCAGATGTATCCGAATTTCCAAACTACAATAGTAACTGGTAACTAGAATCCGAAAAAACGAAACAAAATTACGTTCAAAATTCAAATTGAATTAAAAAATCAAATTTGAAAACAAGAATAGTATAAAATACAGGAATAGAAAAGAATAGAATAGAAAAAAAGCTAATAGAATAGCGTAAAACAGAAATGAATTGAATAAAATAGAATAGAAAATAAGGGAATATAATAGAAAAGAATAGAACAGAATAGAGTAAAACAGAACAGAAAATAAAATTAAATAAAAGAAAAGAATAGAAAATGAAGGAATATAATAAAAAAAACAGATGGGATTTTTTTGCTATTCGGAGATTCAGATGTATCCGAATTTCCAAATTCCATTAGTAACTAGAAGCCGAAATAACAAAACAAAATTATGTTTGGAATTCAAATCGAATTAAAAAACAAATCAAATTGGGCTAGAAATAAGGATCAGCCCACCCCACGTGACTCCTCCCCTTGACGGTGGTCCTACGAACCGTGTATACCGCCTATTACCGGCCCTTCCTGGTTCCTTATTTCTAGCCTGTAGCCTTGTCATTCAACATGTGGAAGCCAATTATGTCTGAGGAGCCCAGCGGGTCCTTCGCCCGCCCTAGGCCAGGTTCTGCACCCCCACACCTGACCTCTATAGGTTGCTCTTCTTGCGTTGGCCTGAGGGGACCTGCCCCCTTTTGACCCCGAGAAGTCCACCATTGCCCAGTGCATACTGGTCACTTTTATATATTGCTGGCCCCTGAAGGAGGTAAATAGATAAAAGTCCGTCAGTATGAAAACAACATAACATCCAATATATGACTAATGATGATGTCACGCTTTGACAACGAAACGCGTAGGGAAGGGGCGTCTGGTGACGTCACTTCTGCTGTTTGAAAAGCAGGTGGAATGCAAACCGGAGTTCCTGGTTTCATTTTCTATTGGGCATATTTTTTTTTTAACTTGAATGTAAGTGCAATACCCCTTTCCAACGGTCTACACCAGGGGGTCTCCAAACTATGGGCCCTCCAGCTGTTGAAGTACTACAAGTCCCATCATGCCTCTGCCTCTGGGAGCCATGCTTGTTGCTGTCAGGGTCTTGCAAGGCCGGTAAGACGCAGGTCTCCGATGAGTTCTATGGTATAGGAATCCAGAAGCAACGAGTACTGTCATCACAGATCTCGTGAGTGTAAGTCGGCTTATCCTAGAGCCCATGGAGGACCAGGAGGTCCTCCATGAGCTCTATGGTGTAGGACAAGGGTCTCCAAACTATGGCCCTCCAGCTGTTTAAGTACTACAAGTCCCATCATGCATCTGGGCTTCTTGCTCGTGGCTGTCAGAGTCTTGGGACTCATGGGACTTGCAGTTCCTCAACACCTGAAGTACCATAGTTCGGAGACCCCCTGGTCTTCACTATATGAGACTTCCCCCATTCTCTTGTGATGGTTGCTTTGAGGAGATCTAAAGAGATAACAGAGAAGGATCCGGTGGCCATCATTTAAAGGGACCAGGGGCCACCATTTTCTTCACACTGGATACACCGATGGCCTGGGGCTGAAAGCTCAGCGCTGCATATTAAAAGATGCGCCATTGTTTACTAGGTAAGTCAACGTACTTGGGTGGATTTACTAAAGGTAAATAGACTGAGCACTTTGCAGGTGCAGTTGCTTCAGAGCTTTGTGCATAAGCAGAAGCTCTGCTGGCTTTCCATCATCCAATCATGTGCAAGCAAAAATGCTTTTTCTTTTTTTCTCTTTTCTTTTTTTTAATTGCATGTGTCTGGCTATTTTTTGCAAAGTGAAACACCATCTTATTTACTAAACTACAACTTGCAAAGTGCACAGTCTATTTGTCATTAGTAGCAAATACACCTCACTGGGGGTGTCAGGTTAAAATCGTGTATGTATATATGTATATATAAAATTTATATTTTTACTTATTTATATATATATTTATTTTATTTTTTTATATATATATATATATATATATATAAAATATTTACATTTTTATATATACATATATATATATATATATATATATATATATATATATATATATATATATATATATATATATATATATAGTGAAAATGTTTGCCAGTAAAGTATAAGTAAATAAATACAATTTTACATATTTTATATATATATATATATATATATATATATAAATAAATAAAAATTTTTTATATATATATATATATATATATATATATTTATAATATAAATGTTATATATAATAATAACATAATAAATATATAATATAGTGAAAATGTTTAACAGTAAAGTATAAGTACATATTTTATTTATATATATAAAAATATAAATTTTATATGTATTCATATTAATAACATAATATAATATATATATATATATATATATATATATATATATAAAATAAAATTTAATAAAATAAATAAATACATAATAATATTAATAACTATATATATATAACATATGTTATATATATATATATATATATATATATATATAGTTATTAATATTATTATGTATTTATTAATTTTATTAAATTTTATTTATTTACTTATTTTTTACTGTTAAACATTTTCACAATAAAGACTTTTTTCTTTTTTTTTTCCTCTCTTTTTAGAATGCTGCATTCCAGTAAATGTGAAACGTGGAATTTCTTTCCTAAGGAACTAATAAACTTCTTTGAGTTGGACAAATACTAAGCTTCAGCTGTTGGTTTAGCATAGTATCCCCAGTATATATAAATTCATTTATTTCACGCACACGTTTACATGCGAAGCGCCGTACTCCGCCCTATAACCGGTGCCTATTAGGTGACACAAATCAGTGTGATCCCAGGAAAGTGCAGCAGGATGAGATTTAGGTTTCAAACGTGCAAACTTTATTTGTACAATCTTGCAAAACCGTAACGAGTTCGTGATGAGGTCGCTGGCTCCACCCAGTACCTTCCTTTGCTGCCTCACTATGCAAATGTTTTCTTGACCTGCTATTGCCGCTTCTAATCAGAATAAAATAGCTTCAGTCATGTTATCCGGGAACATTCCTGTCATAAAAAAGGATAAAAAGGAGTTGTGAGACCGAGGATAAAATGAGAAACAGAAAGTAATTATTCATCTAAGGAGAGACGAGTAGCGTGAATGCTGAGATTCTATAAACAACGGAAAGGCTTCTCTACTTACAGCCGAACCCTCACCTACCTACCCACCGGGCCCAGACTGGCCGCAGGGCACATCGGGCATTTGATGGG